ACTTTTCAGCCAAAGGAATGAGCAGCTAGTTAGCAGGACCGCTGCCAGGGTTCATCCTGCTGGGTGTTCTGGAACAGGGACTCACTCTGCCAGGTAAGTTAACCAACTATACAGGAATGCCCTAAGTGGGTGTTAGACCGAATTTTCCACTCATCGCCTTCTTGGATCCGTACCAGATGATAGACATTCTGAAGATCCAACTTGTTGAACACAGTAGCTCCCTGTAATAACACAAAGGGAGAGTTGAGAAATGGCAAAGGGCATTTATTTTTTAGCAGTGATGTCATCAAGTCCTCAAAAATCAATGTACATAGAGTTTTGTCCTTTACTTCAAAGGAAGGCCCTGCCCCAAGAAGAGAGGATGATGGACGGATAATGCCAGTGAGCTAGTGATGGATAGCTTCAGGTTTGGAAGCTTCAGGTTTGAAAAGACTAACCTACTTGTTAGAAGTGGTGTTTCTGGGAAAAAAATCTATGGTGTAGTTGTACAACTGATGAGGTGAAGAGATGGTCTTTGCGGAATACCTTTGCAAGATATGGTAAGCAAAGGCACCACAGAAAGGTCAGGCGGCTCGGGTAGTTTTCTGGCGGGGCCATAGAAGGAAAAGCAGACTTGAAACAAAACTGGTGACAAGACAGACACTATCCCATGATGGCATTCTTTTCCCAGTCAATTTGGGGGTTATGTTTGCTGAGCCATGGGTGTCCAAGGATGAGTGGATTATTAGGTGCTTCAGAAATGTATAGCTGAATGTGTTCGTTATGGTTACCAGACAAGATGATTTACAGGGAGTATGCGATGACTGATATCTGGGCGATGGGTGCCATCAAGGGAGGAAACATGAAGAGGTTCAGGTAATGCTTAAGGGGGAGGCTGAGTTCTGCAGCCAGAGCCCCATCCTGGAAGCTTTGCTCAAGCATGGAGTTAATAAGAGCCTGCGGGGGGCGTGAAAGAGACTGGAAGGAGAGCTTAGCAAAGACAAGCAAATCAAGTAGGGATGAATTATTTTCAGTTTTGCCCACCAGTATCCATACTGTCACTGCCGGGGGCTCTTTTTTTGGCCGACAAAGATGCATGTTAATTAAATGGGTCACTAGGGGCACTCACCTGCATCTCAGGCATTCTAGCAAGGAGAGATCGGTACAACAGAGCTGCATCGGTTATTCTCCATGGTCAATCCAAGTTTGGGGTCCCAGGCTCTTCCGGGGCAGGTCCTTTGGAGCCGGAAGCACTGCATCATAGGGATGCACAGGTGCGTCCAGAAGAGGGTGGAGATCCCAGGAGGATCCCACCCCTGTAAAGTAGGTCAACGCACCTACACACAGAGCAGAAAGCACAAATACAGAGACAGAGACAAGGAAAACAAAGGGTAAAGAGAGAAATGGCGGAGATGCATAGGAGGACTCGAGGACCATGACAAATACTGCATAACTAATCAGGAATTATAGTAAATTTTTCTACACAGTTCCCTATTTTTTTTTAAAATCTAACTGGACACTATATAACAGTGTTTATTTAAAGTTTTAGATTTAACCCTTAAGAATCCTGCCTGTCTTCAGTTATTTGTTTTTTTTGGTGTTTCTGTATTGAGTTTTTGATGCACGAAGTGAAACAAGTAGGGTCATACCAGCTAATAGACCCCGAGCATTGTTAATAATTCACTTCTTTACCTTTAAAACTCACAGCGTGCTGTCGCAGTATGCTTCAGGCCGTTGTCCATCTGCACTGTGAGGTGCCATGCAATTACTTTACTGCATATGGCTGAATCCGAGGAATGTACATTTCACAATCCATCTGACTGCTTTTGTCTTGTGTCACATAATCAATAAACACCAGTGACCCAGCGCCATTGAAAACAATACATACCCATACATCACACTGCCTCCTAAAGGTGATGTAGTATTAGTAGTTCAAATAATAAAGAGATCCAAGCCTTTTCTTTATTTTTCTCTACCTAACATTCCAGTACAGGTTCAACCGTTTGGATAGATGTTGTGAAGAGGTTCCTTCAATCTTCCGCCAAAATGTACAGAACTGTTGATGCAGCCCCTCATAATGCCCCACCTATCTGACAGTTTTCTTTGTGTTTGTGTGGCCAAGAAATCTCCTGTTTGAGCTCTTTTGCTGCATATTTGTGGGTTCAACAGCTTCCAAATGGAAATGCCACACTTTGAAACAACTACAGACCTTTCTAAATGTATGAAGAAATATTTAAGAAATGGCTCCCATTTGGCCATGAAACAGCTTTCGAAAGAATTGTGCAATTATCCAAAAATAGGAAAATGTGGATAAATGGTTACGATTAATTAGTGATTATTGTAATATTTTTCATAGAATCC